ACACAGCATATGCACACATGCAAAGCTCCTTCCATTCACCCGCGCTTATCTCTTCCTGGTTGTCTGCATCCTGCTACTCAGCTGGAGATGACACACACACGTGCATGTACGCACACACATATGCACATGCACGAGCTCCTACGCTCACTCAAGAGTCATTCATGCTTCCTTCCAAATCACTGTTCTCATAAAATGCTCACACAAACGGAGCGAAAGCAAAACAAACCTCAATATCCGAATGAAGCTGTGGGTCATTTCTTCAGGAGTGACCCAAGAGACCAACTGCTTGTTCTCTCCATCAAATAGTAGTGGTGTATCATACACAAAAGCACTGCGTACAGTACATAATGCATGTTTTTTTTTCATGGACACACGTCTCTGACCTCAAATGTTACGGCTCAGGATTTACAGGAAGATTTAAGCTTCATCAAGGGAAGATCTTTTTGCAGTTTTGGCAACAACTGCGTAAGAAATGTAATTTCAAATTTAATGTTTCAAAGAAAATTTAAAAATGGAGGGCAGTAGTTTATTCTGTTCACTGTATATGGCCTGGGACTTTTGTCTTAGAAGTAACAGGAAGGATGCAGCTTGAGTGCAAATAAAATTTCCCCAGATCCTGGAGTTTCCATACAAGGCGTTAGAAGGTAGAGTCAAGTAAAGAGTTGATGGTGATTTAGTGTAACATGAACATCACAGTTACATCACAGTTTCCAAGTGAAGCTTGAACCCAGAGTCCAATAGTCAGGTGAATAGGGACGGTTTATGGGACTACTGTGACTCAGGATAGCCAACTCACTGGCTATCACATAACGGATCTAGCGATTGCACATGGGGGCAGGCTGAATAATGGACTGCACTCAGATCTGAGGTGTTAATTTGTGTTTCTTGAGGAAATATTGTCTCTGGCTATACACCGTGTGAGGTCGTGGAAGTTGAGTCAGCAGTGTGTGGACTGTACTCTGTCCCTGCTGAGTAGCTACCACTGGCTAGCCAGCTGTCTGCAGATATCAGACCTACTATATGTCTTGTCCACACAAACAGAGCAGATTAATTGGTGAGCAGACTTTCGTTTTCTGCCTGGTCAGTGCTCAGAGTGATCATTAAAGTGGATGTCGCTACTTAGGTGAAGCATCTCCTATTGACAGTCCATGTGTAACTGTATGCTTTGACAAAATGTTTCATTTTAAAATATGGTTTGCACAACAGTGACACCCTTTTAAGTGGTGCATCCATCCATCCATCTTCATCCGCTTTATCCGAGACCGGGTCACGGGAGCAGTAGCCTGAGCAGAGCCTCCCAGACTTCCCTTTCCCCACACACCCCCTCTAGCTCCTCAGAAGGAACCCTAAGGCGTTCCCAGGCCAGCCGGGAGACATAGTCTCTCCAACCTGTCCTGGGTCTGCTCAGAGGCCTTCTCCTGGAGGGACATGCCCAGAATAACTCCCCAGGGAGGCGTCCGGGGGGCATCCTAAACAGGTGCCCGAGCCACCTCAACTGGTTCCGCTCAACGTGGAGGAGCAGTGGTGGTGCAGTTTTTTTTTTTAATT